AAGGGATGAAATTGTAAACGTTTGGAAGTCTGTGCTTAAGGTAGTTAAGGTTTATCTGAGGGGTTGATTGGCAAGGCCGTGTGTCTGAGTTAAAAAGGCTTGAGAGAGTTACTTGGCATAATTTCTCCATCCTCAATGATTTACTACTGAAATGCAAACATCAATTTTGGACTCTCTCCTGAGAAACATTTAACAAAGTCAGTGAACTACTGGTACCCTGATATCTTTCTAGATTTGCCAAACTCTGATAGCTCTTTAATAAACCCATGACTGAAGTTTATTTTGGTTTTTTTTTTTAATTTCTATTAAGGAAACAGGTCCATTAGTAAATACACAGATGTAAAAATGGTCTCCTTTACTTAGCCATTGTGGTGTGTCTTAGGATTGTCGAGAAGGCACTCCATTGTTAAAGCTGTTTGTGCCGGGTGTACTAATGCACTCTTTGATTGAGTGAATTAGCAGTCATAACAATCTGGCAGTCTGGCCATAGAAGTGTGCTCAAATTGATTTGTGTTATGGCTGGACTGGAAAATCTAGTGTTAGTTGTTTTTTGCCCTGGGGCATTGTTTGTACCAAACTCTACTTTTCATTTAATTTTCCAATACATTTTGAAAGATTGAAATGCTTGTGATCAACATTTGATCCACTTGCATTATTTAAAAAAAAAATCTGAAAGTAATTTCAGATTCAAAAAAAAAACCTTGCTTTCAATTAGAGTAAACATAATTAGAGTGACGTCGTGCTCAGAATGGTAAATCTGCCTTTGAATCTATTAACCATGCTTCCCCCTTGTCCTGTCACTGTAAGGAATTTGGTATAGATCTATAGCATACATTTGTAATGTCGAACATACATGCTCCTCATGGAGCTTGAGAAAAATTAAAAGAATAAAATCATAATGAGCCTTTTACTCTGCCCTCTTGGTGTCCGCCTTTTCATATATGCCCAAATCGCTTCTCTCTCATTTGGAAATGCCATAAAAATCCAATAAATTCAAAGCTTTCAGAACATTGTGAGATATTAAAGGAATGTACTCAAATATACATTGTCTTCTAGTTACTCTGTTTTTGTATTTTGCTAGAAATAATTTTCATTTTTTTTAAAAAAACACTGTACCAGTTGCTATAAGAAACTCTAAAGAATGAAGACATGACTTATCTTAGATCTGTCAATATATGTATCTTTCCCACAATCTTCTTCTTTGCAGGCATTTACCAGAATTATAATACAACATGAATAAACCTAAAAAAATGACTATTGATTTTAGAGAAAGCTTTGTGAAATCATTTAGTCAGTTTCCCCACTTGAGAAATCACTGAATACAACATGTCAATAGAAAAGAACGGAATAGATGTAATACAGCTCTGTGCTTCCTTTGAGTTATAAAAAAAGGGTCACATATAAATCCCCACAGATATACCCTTTTATACTCAAATAAAATGATACTTACCAATTCCCAACTACAAGTCCATCTTTTTACACATTTATTCTTCCCTTTTGAAACCACAGGTTGTGAAAGTGTGTTTTTATGTGTCCCTATTCGCCACTGATCCTTTTAACCAAATAGGTCGCCCTCATCATCACTAAAGTGCCTGTTGTCATTCAGGTAATCACCGCGACTTTAGCTGCCACAGCTACTTCGGATTCTCCCTGTCTCCTGCAAAGCTACAGCTCTTCTGAAAACTGCATTTCATACTGCGCTGAACTCTGTATCCTGTGCCGATTTTTGTTAGGTAATAGTTGATGAGACCATTCTTTTTATTAGTTCCCATTCTTACCGGTCTCCTCAAATGGGGGAAAGGTGGGGGAGGGGAGGGGAGGGGCCAGAAGAGGGCAGAAGGAGGGAAGAAAATACCTTCCCTGAACTGTACAAGCTAAGCTTCAAACGATATCCTAGGAAAGAAATTAAAGACTTCTTAATTAGTGCAGCAATTAAGCTTTCTTGGTAGCATTTTAATCAGCACAGGCCCTATCAAAGGACAAACAGAACGATTTGCAGGTCTTTGAATTTTAAACAGTCTTATTGATTTCAGCACAATACGTCTTCAGAAAACACAGGGAGAATTTTCTAATATCAGTTACAGTACTTTGAGTTTTGCTTATGCAAATTGAATGAAGGTTAGGAAAGACGAGATGGACGAAGAGTACCTTAAATAACAAGAGATGTAAAACAATAAACAATACAAAAGCTTTCAATGCTAAATTTGCCATCGAGTGAGAATCTCAAATCTTTCATAAGTTGATCTCTGTGCCGTGTTAAATACGATTTGCCTTCCACATAGCTGGAAAGAATATCTCGGAAAGTAGGAAAGAAGATGAAAAAAATATATGTCTTCAGGGGTTTTTCAGGTCTATTTTGTTTTGCAACATTTGACTTTTCTAACCCTATTGTTTGATCTAAGGAGCAAGTGGTGGTGGTGGGGGGTCCTTGAAAAGGTTGCGAAGCCTGAGGTGGAGGAGGGGAGGAGTACCTTCTAGGTGGAGGAATATGTTCCCCAGCCTCACTTCTAAGGGAAGCATGTGCTTGAAGCACACGTTACTCTTCAGAAAATTGGAAGTTTGACTGGAAGAAGGGTGGGATTATGGCTTGGTCTGCATCTCTGCTTTGCTTCCTGTTTGTTGCTCTAGAGTGTGGCAGATTTTGAATGAGTGATAGTTTGAGGAAATGGAAGGAGAATGGTAAGGTCAGATTCTGGGCATTGGACTCCCCCTTTCTATTTGTAGGACTAGAAACCGAATGTGTGCATGCAGGCTGGAAACACTACATAATCTGGCATTTTAAAAACACACTGGAGTTTATTAAAGTTAGGAATGACATTCAAAAATAAATTTGTATTTTTTTCTTTTAGAGTTTAACACTTTTTCAGTATTGCAGTTCACTCCTACAATAATTTGACATTTGAAAAAATGGAAATGTTTCTAAACTATATATTTTAAAATTTGTGGTATATACTGGATCCCTACTTTCAGTTAAGGATAGGCTTGATGAATAAAAACCTAATGAAGCTCCTCATCTCAGCATGTTAAAAACCACAATGGTTATCTAGGACAAACAACTGTGAAAACTTCACACATCTTTGTAGAAGGTTATAAACTTTTGTGCAAACATTTTCTGAATCCTTGCACTTTCTGAAAGCCTCCCAATGCAACTATTTTGCCCCTAAAAGTTTAGCATTAATAAGTAAGTCAATAGTGTCACATTTCTTTTTAGAGGTTTCCTGTACCTTTTAATACTAAACTTCAAAGAGTTCAATGGATCAAAAATGATAAAGAGAAAAGTGACAATAATTTCAACACCCAAAGGCAAAAACTCCACCATAAAATTTCTCAAAACTCTAAGCCTGCAACAATAGTTTTTCCAAAATTGTTCCAGTGCTAGTTCTTTCCTTCACATCTTAAGAAATCTCTGAATGTGTGAAGCCAGGTTCAAAACCCAACTCCTCCAGATTTCTAGAGATACAATCCACATGCAGACGTGACCTATGCTCAAATCTTATGCTGGTCAGACATCCCCGAATAAACACCTTCATGCAACAAGTTAGAGAAGACAAGAGGGGGGGAGAAACGCAAGCCCGGGCCCCCTCAGGCAGCTCAAAAGCACAACCCCTTTACAAGACAGCCAGGAAGCTTAGTTTCTGTTCCCATTATTTACAAACACCTTCTCACTGACAAACTAAAAGAGACGCTCCCAAATATAGCAGTACTTTCCAAATATGACAGAAACCCCATAATTATTGTGTTACTTAAATAACATGCTAGCGACTAGCCTTGGGTAGTAAAGGATAACAGATAGTTGATTACTGTGCAAGACAGGTGAATTAATTAGAGTTTTGGGTAAGAAACATCAGTGTGTTTTTGTATTTCACTTTCTAATCCTCGAAGACACTTGATCTCTTTGAAATTTCTAGGTATAATAGTAGGCATGTGTGACCAGTCATGGGGGGGGGGGGTGTGAAAGGGAAGTTCCTTTAAGCCACCTATCTCACGTCAAGAATATATTTCAAAGTCTACAAGGAAATAAAGAATCCTATTCGGGAGCATCCCATTATTCTTAGGCGACTTTCTTCTCTCAACTTGAAAACTGTCCTGAGATTTCTCTATCTTTATATAAAAATTTTAATATAGGGAAAGCATTAGCTACATAAGATAGTACGCTTTGCTTACATGTGAATTATCCTTGGAAAATAATTGCTCAACAGTCATGAGCTGGGGATGTATTTCCTTTTGTAAGTGGTTGCACAAACGCACGCACGAGGGCGGGGGTGGGGGGTGGGGGGCGGTTGTTTTATCCTAAATCCCTGAAGGTGAAGGTGGCAGCTGAGCCACTGCTCTTTCAGGCGCCAGGCGATTGCTCAGAACCTTTTTGGGGTGTTTGTGTGGGGGAAGCTGTGAATCTTCGTGGAAAGGCGTGCAATGTAACGGTAGCAATGCCAGAGAAGTAGCGCTCTCTCTCTCTCTCTCTCTCTCTCTCTCTCTCTCTCTCTCTCTCTCTCTTTCACACACACACACACACACACACACACACACACACACACACACACACACCAGTCTCCCTCGCGGGGAGCACCACTCTGGAGCCCAGCTTTTCTAGGGCTTTCCTCCCACCCTTTCTCCCTGTACCCTCCCTCTTTTCCTCCCCCCCCCCCCCCCCCCCCCCCCCCCCCCGTCTCGCGCTCTCGGAGTCTGCTCCGAGTTCCTGGTTGGATAATTTGGGTTAATACTAGTGAGTGAGGTTTTCGCGGCTTCAAAGGGTATTTCAAGTATCCGGAGCTCCTCCCCTCTGCACCGTGTGACAACAACAACTCGTCCAGCCGGCAGCCTGCACTTTCAGCTCATTTTCTCTCTGTCATTCCCCTCTCAATCTTTGATCAATGTACTTGCCAGGGAGAACCCAAGTCCCTCAACCCTCCTCCTTTTCACCTTCATCCTTAACTTTGTGCTAGAGCGGGACCCACATACCACCAGCCGACCCTCCCGTTCCCCCACCCCCCTCCAGAGCAGCCCGCGATCCCAGCCCCGGGAGAGGACTCGCATTTCTACTTGCGGGACACTTTTGTGCGTTTCTCTCTCGAGCGCCTCTCGCGCTCGCCCCTCCTGCGCTCGCTCTTTCTTACCCTCACCTCATTTTCTCCCCTTCTCTCTCTCTTTCTCCAGCCCGGGTTCCTTCCTAGAGTGGTTCTTGTCGCTGCCCCCCTCGATCCTTGTCCCTCTCTCCCCCTTCCCCTCTGGGGGGTGTGTGGCAACTTTTCCCCCTCGCTTCTCCTCCTTCTGTTTCCCCTTATATGTGACCATGGCAGTGCCGGCGGCTTTGATCCCTCCGACCCAGCTGGTCCCCCCTCAACCCCCGATCTCCACTTCTGCTTCCTCCTCTGGCACCACCACCTCCACCTCCTCGGCGACGTCGTCTCCGACTCCGTCCCTCGGACCCCCGGCGTCTTCTGGGCCAACTCTGTTCCGGCCAGAGCCCATCGCCTCTTCTGGTTCTTCTTCGGCGGCGACCACAGTCACCTCTCCTGGTAGCGGCGGCGGCGGCAGCGGAGGCGGCGGTGGCAGCGGCGGCAACGGAGGCGGCGGCGGCGGCGGGAGCAACTGCAACCCCAGCCTGGCGGCCGGGAGCGGCGGCGGCAGCATTAGCGCTGGCGGCGGCGGCGCCTCCAGCACCCCCATCACCGCAAGCACCGGCAGCAGCAGCAGCAGTAGCAGCAGCAGCAGCAGCAGCAGCAGCAGTAGCAGCAGTAGCAGTAGCAGTAGCAGCAGCTGCGGCCCCCTCCCCGGGAAACCTGTGTACTCAACCCCATCCCCAGTGGAAAACACCCCCCAGAATAATGAGTGCAAAATGGTGGATCTGAGGGGGGCCAAAGTGGCTTCCTTCACGGTGGAGGGCTGCGAGCTCATCTGCTTGCCCCAGGCTTTCGACCTGTTTCTGAAGCACTTGGTGGGGGGCTTGCACACCGTCTACACCAAACTGAAGCGGTTGGAGATCACACCGGTGGTGTGCAATGTGGAACAGGTTCGCATCCTGAGGGGACTGGGGGCCATCCAGCCCGGAGTGAACCGCTGCAAACTCATCTCCAGGAAGGACTTCGAGACCCTCTACAATGACTGCACCAATGCCAGGTAAAGAGCGGAGGGGAACCTCCCGTCGCCCCGGTCCTTTCCCACCCTCCTCCTATCCCTTCCCTCACTCGGTTCCCATCGCCGCCCGCTCCTCGCGTCCACGAGCTGAGCGTCTTGAAGAGCTCGGCCCTCTCCTCTGGGTCCCCAAGGCTAGTCTCCTTCACCCGACCTCCTGGACAAATTCGCACGGCTCCGTGCCGGCCGGGTCTTCCCGATGCTCCCCAGGGCTTTTGGGCTCGGCTGCCTCGGCTCTTGGGATACACAGAGCGGGGAGCAGGAGGAAGGTGCCTTCCCAGGGGTCGCAACACTTTCCAGGGAGTGCTGGCCACCGGCACCCTATCTGGGCACTACTGCCCGCGTGTGCACTCCCGGGTCCTGGTTCCTCCGGAAGCCTCTGGGCACCTATAGGGGAGGAGGGAGGTCGTGACCCTAAGCCCACAGCTTTCGGAAGCGGGGGGATGCGCTCAGGGGTAGGGGGTACTCTAGAAAGAAAGGAGGGTGGTCTGGCAGCCAAGAGCGGTGCTGAGAAGTCTTTAGGGGAACAGTACCTGGGGCTGAAAGAAGAGCAGGGGTGATCGGAGAGGAGAGTTCACGCTGGGAGTTCAACCCCGAAATCCCAGAGGGAAGCTTGTGTAGGGGAGGGGTCTCCGTGTTCGCGAATGTGTGTGTGTGTGTGTGCGCGAGAGAGAGAGAGCGTGTGTGTCCCCTGTGTGTGTATGTGTGTGTGCACGCGCGCATGTGTGTGTCTCCTCTCTCTCTCTCTCTCTCTCTCTCTCTCTCTCTCTCTCTCTCTCTCTCTCTCTGTGTGTGTGTGTGTATGTGTGTGTGCACGCGCGCATGTGTGTGTGTCTCTCTCTCTCTCTCTCTCTCTCTCTCTCTCTCTCTCTCTCTCTCTCTCTCTGTGTGTGTGTGTGTGTGTGTTGGTTGAGAGGGGTAAAAGGAGTACGTTTGCCTCGGGGCAGATGTGAGGGCACAAACTCATTTTGTTCTTTAGGCGATGACCTGGTGTCCCAGTCTCTTGGAAGCTGAACTGGATAAGTGAAAAAGAAAGAGCACAACTTGCTCACGCTCTTTGCAAAGTGCGATTCACCCGTCTTCTTTCTTTCTTTGCTGAGGATAGACGCTAAGGAAAAGAGCTGATGTACATTTTGCCCTAGGATGCTAAGGGCTTGAAGACTTTTCTTCTAGTTTTCTTTGATAAAGAAAGCGTGAGCACAGAGGAGGCCTTGGGACAGTCCCTGACCCAACCAGCTTTATGCTAATGAACGCTCAGTGGGGGAGGATCTACCGAGAGGGGGCGGGAGTGGGGCAACTTGTCAGTTTCGGGGTAGAAATGATCCAGCCGGCTGCTCACAGAGGAAGAAGTTCAGAGGTTCTGGGAAAAAGAGAGTAGGAAAAGTTGGAGATCTGAAGCAGACACTTGGGAACTGGGCGAAAAGATTCATAAACAACTTTGGTACCTTTAAAACGAGATTAAATACTGAGAGAAAGAAAGCAGGGGCTCTTAGCAGAGCTATGGAAACAGGAGCTGGGAGGCTGAGAAGGCGATAGTTGCCACCTAAAAGAAACTGGGGGGGAGGGGGGGAGGGTGCTAAAGCCAGCAGCTATATCTTCTTTGAGACTAGTGTTCGGTAGGGCCTAAGAAGAAAAGGAAGAAGGCTGGAACTCCATCCCGGCCTAACTTAGCTAAAATTCTTTTCAAAGGATTAAAGATGTCTGGGTCTTGACCTCTTATTTCAACTGTGTGTGTGTGTGTGTGTGTGTGTGTGTGTGTGTGTGTGATCCTGCGCGCGCATATGCGCACGCACACATGCTCCTGCTGGATCTAGTGTATGGCCAGATGGCAGTGGGCATGGGTGGGCATGCTGATCACTAAATGCCTTTTAGTCAGATAACTGTCATTCCTGGTTGTCCAGAAGATAAAATATTTGCCCAAAACCCGTCGCAAAAACTATCAGAAGCAAGACAAAATTTGGTTCTTGAGTTATGAACCATGCAAGGTAAAACTGGAAGTCAATTCAGATACTTCTGTTGTCATACTGACTCCGTCACAAATTGAGACGCTGATTTTCTCTTTACTAATGAAATGTCCTCTCTTCTCCCAGTCGTCATTGTGTGCCTCTGATGTCCGTTCACACACACACACACACACACACACACACACACACACACACACACACAGTGAGAATTCCATACAATGGCTATGTGATGTTATACATTCTAAGACTTGAAACGGAAGTTATATAACTGGAGGCTAGTCTTGAAGTTACCATTTCTTTTTTAAGTTTTCTTTTTACTTTCCTTCCTCCTCCTACTCCTTTTGGTCCTCATCCTCTTCTTCCTTACAGTTTTCCTTCTCAAAGTCTCGCAGCAGTTCTAGAGTCTTAAGCTGCAAGGCCAAAGATAAGTGAAATCCAGTGGAACTGTTTATCCTTTTTAAAATATCTCATCTGTACCCCAATTATATTTCACTCTGCCTTAGTATTTGTGATTGAATGTATTGTTCTAAAGTCCTCCTTCAAACTGTTCTTAAGCATGGGAAGTGCTGGTTGACTATTATATCTTGATTTTATATCAACTAAAAAGCCTGCTCAACATAACTACATGGAAATTTTGCAAGTTCACCTGAGAAGGTGTGCGTAGATACCCGCACAGGTTCTTTGAATTCTGCCACAGGCTAAGCAATGGGAAAATACATTTGAACTTTCTCTCACCAAATACACAATTTGCATATAGCACATTACTATTTTAATGATAATGAATATGGTTACCCTTTCATTTCTTCATTTTGAAAGCAATAGCCTGAATGCTTTGTATCTTGAACTCAAAAAATACTAAATTTGCTTTTTCATTTAAATCCAGTTTATGCTTTAGTGTTAAGATTTTGTTTTTATAAATTGATATGAGAGTGACATTGTTACCCAGCTTCTCTCTGTCCTGGGTGTTTAACAGACCAAGGGAAAATTTGCATTGTATTATTGAAAATGTAGAAGTAATAAAATTGCCAGTATATGTTTAGTTGTATAGATACAGTGTGGGGAGGCAGAGAGAGAGATCATAGTATTCTCAGCTGCTTACAGGATGTATATCTATTAAGGACTCTTAGCAATATTTAAATTTCAGGGAATTTTAGGAACCAAAGTGATGTTAAAGGAAAGAAACGTTAATAAACTTCTTGAGAGTGACTCAGGAGCAGTAGCAAACCTTAAAGTCGATTTAATTTGCTTGGGGCTATTGAATTAGTATGCTCTCTATGAAAATGAGAGTAAATGTTGAGGCCATCTGTCACTACCACTGGGAGATGAAAAAGGCACCATCGCCTTGTAGACAGTGAAGCTAAAAAGTATAGGTCTCAGACACTAAAGAAAATGTAAGGAAACACATTGAAAAGTTGTTAAAAGGCGAAGTCTGACCTTGGTCTGTTTCCTCCAATTATTATTTTAAAACTAAACATTAGTTGTCTGAACTTGGCTGTTGCAACAGAGGTCAGTTAATTAACTGCTAACCATTAAATAACAACAACAACAAAAGTAATTATGTACATGGTCAAGTCTGTTTGTGTCAGTCCATTGCTGGTTTGTACATTTGGGTTAAGGTTTGATTTTTTTCTGTGAATTCGTGTAACAAAAAGTGGCTCTTGCATTATGCTATCTAAATGCTTGCATTCCTATTATTGCCAGAGATGATTTTTGTTTCTGTATCTTGGAAGCCAGACTATGACTAGGCTTCTATGTGGCCCGAGATTTGCGGAGGCTTTTTTTTTTCTTATGTTGCCTTATGTCTAACCTTTCACAGGCATGCACATATATTCATAAAAGCATTCTTTTACCCTTAAAGCAGATACTATCCATGAACATAAATTGGAATATTTGCCAAGCCTTATATGTTTCTGGGTCATATCTGACTATAGTTTTAGTGTAAGAAGCACATTTTCCCTTAACTTTTTGCTTTATTTTTCTTGTCAGGGATTTTAATAAAGATAGAAAGATGGGGCAGTATTTACCTAACGTTTTCCTCATTGCCTGCTTTGCATTCACGTGGGACTTTTAATACAAACCGAGATTCACTCACTTCTGATAGACAATCATGACGCTTGGCACAGAGAAATTCAACAATTATTTCATATGCAGAAACTATGCTTTTGAAGTTTTTGTGTTATGGTAGATTAATGGTTCCTATAAAACCAAGTATCTCATTTTATAACATTTCAAAAAGAAAGTGACATGATTAGATAACCAAGCCATAAAATATGAAAGCTAGTTTGGTTTTGCAACTTATTTCTTTCCGGTTTACAAAAGTTAGACAATGATAGTTTAATAGAAAATATATGAATGAGATATGAGAATATCACCCTAAGATTGATTGATATTGATCAACTTGTAGTGTAGATTATAAGTTTTATAGATATGTAACTAATATTTATTTAGTCTGTTTTCTTCCGTGAAATTAAGGTTGAGTTTAATTAATATTGTCAAAAATGCACATGGTTTTAAATGATTTTACTTTTAGAAAAATACACTTTTGGTAAATATTGTGATACAATAAACCTGATTTTCACAAATAATATCTTATTTTTAAAGCTTAAAATCTTATCTAAAATGAATGGTAGCCCCCATGCCCAGTTTACTTACACAAAATTTAATAAATTTGATATAGATTTTTAAAATCACATCCTTATTAGTCAGTGCTTGCTGTTCTCTTTTTTGCTACTGCATTTCATGGGGTTGCATGTAAATTACTGAGACAATATTAGACACCCTCTCCTTGCTTCACTTACCTCCTCCAGTCCCCTGGGATGTGACACCCAATATTGATTAAAGTCTTGGCAGAATTTAAGCATAAATCACTCCTTTCTTTGGCGATTTACTATGTGTGATTCACCGCCATATAAAAACAGAATATGCTTGATTGTTTCTCATTTGATGTTTAGCTTCTGGAATGTAAGTAGCATTTGCAAATTAGCTTAATGTGCAACCAAGTAGTTGTCATTTGAAGAACAC